GGTTCAAGCCCTACATCAGGCTCTGTGCTGACAGCTCAGAGCCTGGAGCTTGCTTAGGATTCTGTGTCTTTGTCTCTGTCTGCCCCTTGCCCGCTCATGCTCTGTCTTTCTCTCTCTCAAAATAAATAAATAAATAAATAAATAAATAAATAAATAAATAAATAAAAATTTTTTAAAAATTAAAAAAGAGAACTAGTTCAACTATTATCTTTCTTTTTAAAATAGTCTTCACACCAGAAATAACCCAGTGGGTTTTTGAGATTTGTATAATACACTATTTTGATTTACTTTTAGTAAGCATTTCCTCAAAGTGAGATAGTATGATAGAGACATTCCTGGTACACTGGTACATCGTATTTACAACAACAAACAAGCAAGCAAACAAAAATATTTCAAGTTCAAGGTTTTATATTAAGTAGAAGTCAAAATTATTTTGGAAATTTTAAAATTATAAGTGCTATTATGTAACTATCACTAACTAAAATACCTGTGCTAGTCTGCAAAGTTCTCACACCACTTCCTCAAATCTTACTTCTCATTACCCTGGATTTCTCAAGTTAGTTTACTGAGGTCATCACATTTAATAATGTAAAATGCCACATTCATTATTAGCTATAAAAAGTACTTGTTTTCTCTGCTTATAAATCTTGCTGCACGATCATATTTTCAGATGTCGAATTTATGTGCTCAACAAATGATAGCGGGTCCACAGAATGCAGGTGCAGTTGCGTAGGCTTACGACAACAAAGAAACAAAAATCTCTGCCTTCATCCAGATAATATAAAGCAGCAGAAGATGGTGAAGACATATGAGAATTTCACTTCTTTCAGAAACAACACTGAAAAATACATTTATTTGCTCTAGCTCTTTCCAAATGAAACTGCAAGCCAATGAGAGCCTAACAAATTACTGCTCACAGCCCTCATAAGTGTTTACAACTGTGCTTAAGTTTTAAAATTTATTCTAAGACATCAGTGAACCATATTTCTCCATGTAGTTTCTAGCCCAATTTAGAACAAACTCTCAGAATTTGTCAAGCATAGTATCAGAAAAATTGTTGTAAGTTTAAATTAAATAGACCTTAAGTTTTTAGTATAACCTAATTTTACCAATTTAAAAAAAATCTAGAAGTCATAACTCAAGTGACTTGCCCAAGATTAAAAGACAAGGCTAACTTAGAATATCATTGGGGGAAAAAAAGAATATCATTGGGCATAATACTATATGATGACATTTTTTAATTGAACTATAATTGACATAAATCTTATTAGCTTTAGTTGTACATCATAGCGATTCAGTATTTTTATACATTACAAAATGATTTCCACGTTAAGTCTAGATATCATCTGACACCATACACAACTATTACAATTATTGACTCGATTCCCTATGCTGGACATTGCATCTTAATGATATTTATTTTCTTACTAGAAGTTACTATTTCTTAATCCCCTTCACCTATTCCACCTGCCTTTCTACCCCTCCCTCCTCTGGTAAGCAACAGTTTGTTTCCTGTATCTATGAGTCTGTTTCTGTTTTTATTTCCTTGTTCATTTTGTTATTTAGATTCCAGATATAAGGGAAATCACACAGTATTTGTCTTTCTCTGGCTTACTTCACTTAGCATAATACCCCTCTCGCGTATTGCAAGGTTGTTGCAAATGATGATACTTTCTAATAGCACATTATTGGTCTATTGCCTAAAATATAAATTTGCTTATACACCTTTTCATAAATGAATGAAAGTATACTTGAAAAGTTAGCAAAGAAATCACTCATTACAAATTCCAGATAAATGGTACACGAACTCATGAAGTTGGTGAGTTCATTATGTAATTCTTACCAAGGGAAAGAATCATACCAGATCTAACTATGGTGAATGCCACCGTTTGAGGACTCCATCAACACAAAAACTTTGCTCCTCAAGCAGGAATTATGAAAACTCAAATATTAATAAACATTTATCATATATTAGAGTTAATTATAAAACTTTGGAATTAATACATACGTTGGCATAACAACAGCAAGGCTTTGGGAGGGTTTTTTTCCTGTTTCAGGCAAAAAATTGGTTAGTTCTATGTGCAGAATTTATAAACAACAATAATATCAACTATCACCGCACACTAGGTAGTCAAAACACATTACAAATAAAATATTCCACCTCAAAAATATTTTCTGTGCATCTAAGTTCTAAACAATTACTGTTGAGTTTTAATAGCCCAACTTCTATTAAGGTTTGAATTAACATACATTTAATTTTTTATTCTTTAATAACATTCTACTTAATTTGGAGAATTCCCAGTATACAATTTACTTCCAACCCATCTGATTTCAGCTACATTTGCATACTTTGGGAATAAGAATCCAAGATTTTGAGGGTTTTTTTGTTTTCTTGTTTTCATTTCTACAGTTACTATGGAAGCATTATTTGGGGTCTACTATATTAATATAGCAATTTGTAGTATTACAGGAGATAGTATCTCAAAATTCTCTCAAAGCTAGTTCAAACTATTTTGAACTACATAACAAATTAGAGAAAACTTCATCTAATATGATAGAATTTAGTGTAGAATTTTTGTGTGTGTGAAGTCATTATATAAGGTGGAAAGGTTTTGGATTTCCCAGACATTTGAAAGCTGCTAGAAATGATCTCAAAGAAGCAAAGACTCTTTATAGTATTGTAATTTCTGGAATTTATTTTGAAATTGGATTTTTATAAATCTATGCCCCACTTTGTAACTATTGTATACGTTTGTTCATTTGAAAGAAAATTTTCAAAAATATACTTAAATTTATGAGTGAAGATAAATTGACAAATGTGGCTATGCTATTTATTAAACATGAATACATGAAGGTCAGTTTTGGCCTGGTCATTGACAAATTTGCAGAAGGTAAGGCTAAGGAAAAATTTAAAGTTATTATTTGCTATTGTGATGGGCCAGTGAATAGCTGTTTTCCCCTTTATTTCAAAAATTACACTGTTGCTAATTAAAACATGTTAACCTGTTATTTTTCCCTTTTATATAGTATTAGTTTTCTGTTTCTGCTGTAACAAATTACCATAAATTTATTGGCTTAAAACAACACCAATGTATTGCCTAATATTTCGAAGTTCACAAGTCCTAAAAGTGATGTGTCTGCAGGACTGCATTCCTTCTTCAACCTCTAGGAAGGTATGTTTTCTTGCATTCTGAACTAATTCTTACAGGTCCTCTGTATTGCTTGGCTTGTGGCCCTTTACTCCATATTTAGTTCAGCAGGTAGCATTCTCAAATTTCTCTCCGTCTCCTTTCCCCCTCAACTTCCCAACACCATGGTCTGAAGGTTTGTGACCACCCAAATTCTTATGTTGTAACCAAATCTTCAATAGGATGGCATTTGGAGGTGGGGTCCTTGGGAGGAAATTCATTATTAGATGTGGCTGTCATGAATGAGCTTATAAAAGGGACTCCAGAGAAATCCCTGACTATTCTGTCATGTGATACCCATCTTTTACACAGGAAGCAGATCTCACCAGACAAGGAGTCAGCTGGCACCTAGATCTTGGACTTCCAGTTTACAGAACTGTGAAAAATAAAGTTCTACTCTTTAATCAATCTCTGGTATTTTGTCACATGTGCTGAAATGGACTAAGACATTCTTTCTTTCCCTTCTTCTATTGTCATGTCTCCTTAACTGTGACTCTGACCCTTGCTACTTTTTTATAGGGATCCACCTAGTTAATCCAAAATAATCTCCCTATCTCAAGATCCTTAACTAATCACATCTGTAAGATCTCCTTTGTCATATAAGGTCACATGTTCACATATTTTGTGGATTAGACTGTGGATATTTTGGGGGATCCATTATTAAGCCCACCACATATACACATGTACTGTAATATTGCATGTTAATACACTTATTTACCAGATGAATATACATACTCATATATATTATACACATACGTGAAGTTCAATAGATCAAAATGTCCATCGTTTGCCTTTTCTGGCAATTATTATCCTTTATTTCATTTCATGATTATTATAGAGAATAATTTTGTCATATGAAAGCAAAAGGATGTTATAAATAATTAAACCAGATGTCAAATAATCTAGATATGTTACTGGAAAACAGTCTGCTATTTCTCTTAAAACAAGTATCTTCTCTGTGGTTTATATACACAATGGGATACTACTTGGCAATGAGAAAGAATGAAATCTGGCCATTTGCAGCAATGTGGATGGAACTGGAAGGTATTATGTTAAGTGAAATCAGCCAGGCAGAGAAAGACAGATACCGTATGTTTTCACTCATGTGTGGATCTTGAGAAACTTAACCGAAGACCATGGGGGAGCAGATGGGGAGAAAAAAAAAGTTACAGAGAGGGAGGGAGGCCAACTATAATTGACTTTTAAGGACTGAGAACAAACTAAGGGTAGATGGGGGTTAGGAGAGAATGCAAAGTAGGTGATGGGCAGGGAGGAGGGCACATGGGATGAGCACTGGGTGTTGTATGGAAACTAATTTGACAATAAATTATATTTAAAAAATAAATTAAAATATATTTTCTCTAAAATTAAACAATAAAGCAAATATCCACAGGAAACAATGAACTATTTGTGGCTCATTCATTTAATTAACTTTCTAACTCAAATACTACTCAAATACTATACTCATTAAGCCAAAAATCTGAAAAAATAAGATGCAAAAACTATTTGATACATAAAACATTTATAATGTAGAATTGAGAAGGTCTTTTACATTGACGTTGCGGGTTTTTTCAACACCGATTCAGCAAAAATGTCTACCAACCATTTTGGTGGAAATCAGTTTTTCTTTTGTTACTTACCTATTTAGAAGCGGATGTCCAAATTGCTTCCTGATTTTATACAGTAAGAGAACATAGCAAGATAGATTTATTAAAAACAAAATTCCCAAAGGCATATGGAGGCTTTGTTTTTCCTCCTCCTCACAGCAACTAAGATTAAAGAACAAAGAAAAGTGACTGACATAAAACCTACCCATGGGGGTGCCAACGCCATAACCTTTGGAGTCTATAAGGCCGCCAATCTGTGTCAGGTTACAATTCCGCTGGGTAACAAACTCAATGGTCGTTGACTCCATTAGGAAAGCATAATCAGAGGTGAGGACTCTCTGGATTCCTTCTTCATTACTTTTGACGAGTACTGACTGCCTCCTGCTACTCATAAAGGCCCACATTTTGTCATATGTAGATATTTTTGATTTCTAGGGAGAAATGAAACAGGTAAGAATATATATTCCTTAGTTTCCATGTGATCCTACAATATTTAGATGGAACTTACTATATTTCATTTAAATTTAACAAACATATCAAAAATCATGTTAAAAAATGTACAGCTAGTAAATCATAGAAGCCAATAAAAAAGAGAAAATAATATTAATAAGGAGGAACTTTTGTGCTTGTATCTCATATGAGTATCTCATGTGTATAATTTTATCTTTCAACATTACTATAACATCAAATTTGGAAGAGACAGACACTGGACACCAACTGACACTGTAAAACCTTGAGGTTTTTCTTTTCCTTTCTTTCTTTTTCCTCGTTTGGTTGACTGTGACACCCAACGTCACATCATCCTCCAAGAATACACAAGGATATAGATAGACTGAACAAATATAAGGAGTTTGTTACAAGTAAAAATCTCCACTGAAACGCAATCCAGACACCACAGAACCTCTGGTAGCCTGCTTCAGGAAAGCTGTCATTAAGATCTACAAACTAACTAAAGTTTCCTGGACCAATAAAATTGAATAGTTTTTTATATCCAAATGAAAATTCTCAGTAAGGCTTTACTAGGGTTTTATTAGTAAAGGAATGAAATGGGTTTTGTTCAGAGGGCACTGGTAAAAACATAAACATGAAAAGGTTAGCATCTGCTTATGGAAAGCTCAGTTGTAAGCCCTTATGTCAGTTAAACTCTTACACAATACAAAAAATAATACTGAAGCTATAAACACAAGGAGGATATTCACTATATTGGTAGCCCTGTCATACAAAGTTGAAACTATTTTCAAGTGCATAGATATGCAATCTTTTTACAGCTTAAGCTTGTATTTAGTCCTACATATGCCAGGTCATAAGTGAGATATTACTACTTCTTCCACTAAAAGCAGGTGCACAATAATATTTAGAAAACTTACGGCATTATTTCAATGATGAAATAGGAAGAAAACCCTTAAATTTACTGGGGGAAGAAAATAATGAGTGTTTTCTAAAAACAAGTATAGCATGAGGGCTAAGAGAGGGTAGAGATTCAAACCTTTGCTCTTCAATGAAACACTAAGGCATGCCAAAAGGCCAGTGGCTCAAAGTTTGAAAGACTGCAGCTAAAAAGTCTAGAATAAGATTGATAAGATACAAATTTGAGCAGCTTTGGTGGCATGTCAATTATTTTAAAGTAAAATGATCATATGTTGGAAGTAGAAAAGAAAAATGAAAGGAATGTTTAAGGTTATGATGAAATCCTTATTGGAATAGTTGAGACCAATAGTGATATTTTTTTTTTTCTTTTGAGAGAGACGGAGGGAGGGATTGCACACATGCATGCAGGGGAGGGGCAGAGAGTAAGGGAGAGAATCCCAAGTAGGCCCTGCTTTGTCAGTGCAGAGCCCAACTCGGGGCTCAGACCAACAAACCATGAGATCATAGCCTGAGCTGAAACCAAGAGTCAGATGCTTAACCAACTGAGCCACCCAGGCACCCCACCAATAGTGAGATTTTGCATAGATTCATTTGGCTTCCCAAATGTTACTACATAATGACAATAGCCAGAACAAACTCACTTCCTTTCAAAGATAAAATTTTTTTCTCCTAATGTTTTGCATCAAACGAGACCTAAATACAAAATAAAATCAAAATTAAAGCTCACCTGCAGATTAAGGAGATTTTTAATAAAAAACTAAGTTGGACATATTTTTTGATTTAGTAAATCTGTGGCTGATAACAAATAGATATAAAATCCCATAAATGATAATTCTAAAATGTATGTCATCAACTGCACTCTCATGACTTGATAATTTAAAAATTAACTCTTTATCAAGGAGTGATAATGAAATATCATGGTAATATGATATTACCATGTAGTATCATAACATGGGCATACTCCCTGAGGCCTAAACCAAGCAGAGATAAGAAAGTATACAAAAAGTTATTTTTACCTAATGTGGTCATAAATTGCCTAAATTCTCTCCTTTGTTTCAGTTATAAGAACGTTAACAATTAATGTTTTATTGCTTTAGTTACATGATTTCCAATTAGTGATAACACATTCCATCCATTGACACAAGTTAATTTAAATAAAACTTGAAAAGTAGTATTTTTGTCCCAAATAGAGGAGGACTCAGATTGTTTATAATAGCAATAATCATTTAAATATGTCTATATATTTATAAAATCATACATCATTATATCTTCCACTTTTTATAGTATTATATATGTTATAATATGCAATATAAATTTTAAAATATTAATAGTACTTTCTAATTTAAAAATTATACAACACAAACAACTTAAAAAAGAGAAATTCTTTTTTAACAGTATAATAACAGTATAAAATTCTTTTTAAACAGTTAATATGTTGCTGTGTAAACAGATCAAACTTTTTTTAACAACTGAAAACCGAGAAACTAAAGACTATTTCTAATCTATCCTTTATGGATATATATAGTTTAATTTTAAATTAATGTGAATATAGTATTATTTTACATTTGAAATATCTAATCTATAAAATGAAACTTTAATTGACCAAATACAAATTTTACAAAATGTATTTTCATATAAAATTCTTTGAATGCTTTCCTGCACTTATATTTTATTCTTATGAGCACTTCTTAGAAATTACTATTGATAATCATTTTGAAACTAATCATTTCCAACCTTCCATTGCTATATAAGATCTCTCATTGATTTACTTCTGATTTCCAGAAATCTATTGTCTATAATTTTTGTATAGCTTTACTCATTTTTCCTGTCGGCAGAAGATATAAGTATTTCTTTTATTCTTAGAATTGTGGAATAGGTTTAGATACGGAAGTCACCCAAATTTTTTTTGTTTCTCTTAATAAAAATAAAAACCCAAAGAAGAGATATTTCAGTTTAGAAATATACATTCTATATGGCTTATTTGCTAGATTTGTTGTCATTCTTTGATCACAATTTCTAATTTAGCACAGTCACTTCTTTGCACCTCCCATTGACGGCTGTAAAACACAACTGTAAAACCCAAAGTGTGATTAAAAATCATCACTGCGCCTGCAGACTCTGTGTGTGTGTGGTAGGGGTGGAGATGACTTTCAATTCTCACCTATTTCTACAGCAAGTTGAAAAGGCAGACTGATCTTTAGCATCTCCCGGCAATTTTATTACTTCTATTATATTGAGTAGTGAAGAGAATCCAGTGCATCACTGGTTTAAAAACAAAAGGACTCCACAACATGAATTTTACTGAAACCTTCAAATTTAAAGCAGCTAAGACAGCTTGCAATGCATTTGAACAAAGTATCTGAACAAATTCATAAGCTGAATAGGAAGCTTAGCATGCTTTTTTCTCTACAGACCTAACCACTCGGAAATAATTGGTTACCTATACTTAAGTAATATGTAGATTCTGAATATACTCAGACTGAGACAGGAGTAATGATCACTAGCTGTATGTCTCTTATTAATGGAATCTATGTTCTTATACAAGCTATTTAATCTCTTTGAATTTCAATGTGCATAATAGTCAAATATCTTTGCCAACTTTGCAGTGTTCTTGTGAGGCTCAAATAAGACACTACATGTGAGCACACTGTGCAACAGTATGATATTTTTATAATTCTGATTATTTTTTAAAAAGAGAGCATACTGGGGCGCCTGGGTGGCGCAGTCGGTTAATCGTCCGACTTCAGCCAGGTCACGATCTCGCGGTCCGTGAGTTTGATCCCTGCGTCAGGCTCTGGGCTGATGGCTCAGAGCCTGGAGCCTGTTTCCGATTCTGAGTCTCCCTCTCTCTCTGACCCTCTCCCGTTCATGCTCTGTCTCTCTTTGTCCCAAAAATAAATAAACGTTGAAAAAAAAAATAAAATAAAAAAAAATAAAAAAAATAAAAAGAGAGCATACTACCACCAAATGCTTATATGTTAATTTTCCTAAAAAATGCCAAAAGTATGGCAAAGATGGCAGGTTGACTATCGCCTTTGAGTACATGTTCTCTCCTATGGCATGAATCCACAAGGCACAAAACAATAGGAGAATGTACAACAGAAATGAATTTTTGGAAGCTGGAAAGCAGAAAGGTGAATTGTAACTCAGTTAAATAACTTTTATAACGCTCTTTCTCCCACAGAAGTCTCAGAGATTGGAATTTCTTTTTTTTCCTTTCCTTATTTTTTATTTATATTTATATTTTTTATTTAGTTTTTGTGAACATTTTATTTTTTAATATAATTTATTGTCAAATTGGTTTCCATACAACACCCAGTGCTCATCCCAACAAGTGCCCTCCTCCATGCCCATCACCCACTTCCCCCTCTCCCTCACCCCCATCAACCCTCAAATTGGAATTTCTATATGCCTCTCAAAGCCAGATAACCAAAGTTCTAACAAAAGTAAAATTTATTGAAAGAATGTCTTTAAAAATGTTAGATCCTTGATCCTTGATCCATTCCTCCCCCTTCCCTTTCTCTGAGCATCATGGTGACTGCTCCATCTCACCCACGCAGAAGACTAGAGGTTTTATTCTCTGGAGAGGAAACAAGAACACACTGGACACAGGTGACCCAGGGAGGACATATTGAAACCAGAAGAAATTTAAGTTGGAGTCTACAACCAATGTCAGGTCTTTTTCTGTCCTGGTTCTTAGAATTCTTCCAAAAGAGAACACAGAAGATTTTTTCAAGCAAAACTGACTGCACCAGAAATATAATAATGATGATGTTGATCATTATCATCATAATATCAGTTAACTCAGATAAAGTTCAGCATGTGTGATGTATTATTCTAAATTATCTATAAATATTAAATAATTCAAATTTTACAAGATTTTGATTAGGTGATAAGTATCTTTTCTGTCATCTTACAAATGAGAAAACCGAAACATGGATAGGTTAATAATTTGCCCAAATTCATGTGGCTACTTTGAGTCAAACATTGGCATATTAGTTACTGAGTTTATGTTCTTAATCATTGCACTACATCAATTCTATCTAGGGTACATATGGATTTC